ACCTTGCTCAGTCTCAGTCAAGCAGTCTCGGCATGCCCCGGGGGCAGGTCCGGCACAGCCTGTGGTGCCAGGATTGAACCTAGGTCCCTGCACTCTGCCTAAGCAGGCACTTCAATCTTCTGAGCTATCTGGCCAGCCCTCCTCCTTTTATTTTTTATTATTTTGAAAGAGGCTCTTGCTAAACTGCCCAGGCTGTGCATGAAATTTGCAATCTTCCTGAGCCATCCTCTTAGAGTGCTGAGATTATAGGTGTGTGCTATCCTATTTGACATCTCATATTTTTAAAAAATTCCTAAGGGTTTTTATTATTTGAGTAATAATGCACAAATCAGTCCTTAATGCAAGGAGGTGGCAAGTTTATCTGTTGATCTTTTATCTTTTGAGCACTTAAAATATTTCCGTATGCTATTAGACTTTTATTTTGATCACAAATGCAATTTACATGTGAATAATGAATTTTATTATCTTAAAACCCTCCCCCACTCCATTTTCTTTAAATAAAGGAACAAATGTCTCTTAATTGCATATTGTGTCATAGTTGTTCAATCTGAGGTGTTGCTCAAAGGCTGCAATTCAATCTTACAAATTTAATCGTAGGCTACGATTCTTTCTGTTCAAGAACCCTGTAGGCACTGGACCTGTTACTATTATTGTTAGTATGTGTCTCAGTTACTCTTCTTTGATAATCTGTCACAGAGTGTGGCTTGCATCAGTTACTCTTCTTTTGTTGCTTCGAGAAATACCCGACACTCAAAATGAAGGAAGGAAAATTTATTTGTCTCACTGTTCCTGGAGGTTTTCGTCCATACTCAGCTGGCTCCAGGGCAGAGTGGCACCTGGCAGAGAGCTGGAGAGCAGCAGGGAGTGGCAGCAGCTAGCAGCTAGCTAGCCTCCCTCCCCTCCTCGTATTGTGTTGCAGATTACCTGCCCCGCGCAGGTGCAGCATCCACACCCACAATAATCAATCACAAACTCCAGAAGCCGCCCCATGACTGCCCGAGGCTTTGGGGGAACCACACCGGTGTGTCTTCAAGGCTGAGTTTGCCAAGGGGCTTGGGGGCACCTGGAAAGGAGCTTGAGCAAACAGGAGACCATTGAGAAGTACAGGGCAAGTCTTACTGAAAAAACTAGTTTCATTCTCTTCAGATTAGCCCCAGCATGGCCCCTGGGCCATTTCCTGCTGCTAGGGGGCTTTTGTTTAAACCTTACTTGGTCTTGCTTGCTCTTCTAGGACATGTTTCTTACTCCCTAATAACTTGGGTGTTTTACTAACTAGAGAGAGTTACTTATTTATGTTTATTTACCTTTTAAAATCATGTTTGTTGAATATAGGGTTTGAACATAGAATATAGAGTTTATAGAATTTTTAGTTCTTTTTTTAGTAGAAAAAGAACATTAAAATTAGTTTCAATCATTAGCTGTTGAATATTATGCAAAGTGTTACATGAAAGTGTAATGGCATATGAGTGTAATTCCAGCACTCAGGAGATTGAAGCAGGATTGCTGTGAGTTTAAGATCTGCTTGGGCTACATAGTGAGTTCAAGGCCAGTTAGTACTATAAAGTGAGACCCTGTCTCCAAAAAAAAAAAAAACAAACGAAGATCACATGATCTGGTTTCTCTTGTTATATTTCATCCAATTTAAAATTCTTGGAAGCAGAGAAGGCTAAGTGTTTTTTTTTTTTTTTTTTTTTGCCTGCTATTGTAGTGCATGCCTGTAATCCTAGCATTCAGAGACGAAGACAGGAGATTCCCTGCTAGTTTTAGGTCATTGTGATGTACATAGTGAGGCTGGGCTACACAGTATGTTCAAGCTCATCCTAAATTACATAATGAGACTGCATCTCAAAAAGCAAACCAAAGCCAGGCGTGGTGGTATGTGACTGTATGGTTGTGAGTTCAGGGCCAGCCTTGGCTACAGTTGCATAGTGAGTTCAAGTTCAACCTGAACTGTATAGTGAGACCCTGTCTCAAAAACCAAAAAGAAAACAAACAAATAAACAAAACACCAAACCGAAATAAAGTCACCTTTTCCTCTAAATACCTACAGACTTTGTATAAAATGTTGCCTTACATATAATAGGCAATAAAAGGTTTAATAAACTAGTATGTTTCTGTCAAGATTAAATACAGATTATTTATCTTTATATTTGCATGCATTTTACATTTTAATTTATTTTCAGAAGTATTTCTAACTTGCTTGTATTTTGTTTATGTCTTTTAGTGAAAATGTTCTCTTTGGAATGGGGAATCCCCTCCTTGACATCTCTGCTGTAGTGGACAAAGATTTCCTCGACAAGTGAGTATTAAACACTCCGTACGCACTGTGCAAAACTCATTTCTGAAGAACAAGTGATGAAACCTGTCCAAACTAATTTACTGTTTTCAGCTGGAGAAAAACTCAGGAAATTTAAATCTCCTAGTAGCAAATGCACTATCATTATTGATTAACTGGCCACAATGTTCCTTTGGAAAATGGACATGTTTCATTAATTTCTATTGCTACTTTTTACTTAACATTTATTATTTTTATGTTTTAGAGGTGCTGGTGATTGAACACAGGGCGTTGGCAAGCACTCAGTGTTGGATCCACCCCACATTTATTATTTTGAAGGATGAAGGACTGAATATATTATGATTTACCTAATGACTAGCTTCTGAAAATTTTAAATTACTGTTAGTGGACTACATTTGTAATGGAACCATAACGCATTGTCACAATGATTAGAATAGATGATTAGAATGGACAAGAAGTATGCCAATGGACACACCTATAATTCCAGCTACCCAGGAGGCCAAGGCCAGAGGCTGCAAACTGGAGATCAGTTTGTCATTTTGAGACAAGGTCTTAGGGTTTTACTGTGCAATTCAGGTTGGCCTTGAACTTACTTTGTAGCCCAGGGTAGATTTGAACGCAAATCAATTCTCTTACCTCAGCTTCCTGAGTGCTGGCGTAACTTAATGAGATGCTGTCTCAAAAAATAAATAAATAAAAACAAAAAGCTGTAATTCAAAGACTCTAACTTTCCATTATTGCCCTCTTAGTAATAATTTTTAGCATTGTTAATTTAGCTGAGGAACCAGTTTATTTTCTAATTATTTGAGATCATTTGGTATGTGGAAAAATTAAGTAGTAAAAAGAATTAAGGATAAGAAAGAAGGATCTCTCTGTCTTTGCATATCCCACATTCTGAGCCCGATGCTCACTTTGGCAGCACATGTATCCCATTTTGAGCACAGGGATGACTGCTTCTTTTTAATTGAACTAAGATTGATGTCATATAAAATTGATCATATTAGCCATTTTCAAGCATACAATTCAGTGACTGTCAGTGTATTGTACACCTGTCATCAGGTGTATAATCAGGACATTCAAGACATTTTCATCCATGCTAAAATGAAATTCCTATTCCTAAAAATGGAATCATAATAATATATGGCCTGTTATGTTTATATTGGTTTATTCTTCTAGCATAATACTTTTATTGTTCAGGTCTTCATTAATTTTTGTAATGAAGATTCCCAGAATGTCTTACATTCCCAGATTCTATGGCTAGGACCCATTCTGTTTCAATGTTGATTGGTTGATGGACACTTGGGTGCTTTCCATTTTTGTCTAGTATAATGAAAAATGTTGCATGTTACCATTCATGAATGAAGTTTTCTGGGGACTCTTATTTTTCTTGGGTATATCCAGAGGGATGGAATTGCTGGGTCACATGGTCACTCTTTTTTAACTTTTTGGTAGACCAACAAAATTATTATCTACAGCAGCTGCCTCATCCTCTCCAGTACTTGGGATTTCAAGTGTGTGCTACCACACCCAAACCATTTTAAAATTATAGATCTCCTAATGCGTATAAAATAATACCTCATTATGGTTTTGATTTACATTTTTCTTGTTTTGTTGTTTGAGACAGGGTCTTGCTATATAGTTCAGGCTGGCTTTGCATTCACTGAGTAGACTAGGCTGGCTTTGAACTGATGGTGATCCTCTTGCTTCAGCCTTCTAACTGCTGGGTTTGTAGGTGTGTATCCCCATACCTGACTGCATTGTATTTTTCTAATGACTAATAATATTTGCATCTTTTCACCACTTGTGACCATTTGTATGGGAAAATGTCTTTTTCTTTGTCCATTTTGTTTGTTTTTAAGATAGGACCTGACTTCGTAGTTTTTTAAAAATTATTTACTTATTTATTTACTTATATTTATTTTATCTTTTGTGGCCAGCTCAGCCTGCCCTGGGGGCGGGGCTGGCACTGCATTTGGTGCTGGGGATTGAACCCTGGTCCCTGCAGTTGTCTAAGTTTGTCTAAGCAGATGCTTTAAACTGCTGAACTATCTCTTGGCCCCTGGCTTTGTAGTTTAGGCTAACCTGAGTTGGCTTCAAACTCATGGAGATTCTCCTGTCTCAGCCTCCAGAGTGCTAAAATTTTTTTTTCTTGTGGGACTAGGGATCAAACTCAGGACCTTAGTTTCCAGGCAGGCATTATGCCACTGAACTATATCCCCGGCCCAAGAGTGCTGGAATTAATAGGCATATGCCAGTACTCCCAACTTCTTTGTCCATTTTAAAATTGAATTGCTTATTGTTTTGTTGTTTAGTTATAAAAGTTACATTCTGGATGCTAGATCCTTACCAGATATGAGTTACAAACATGTTTCCTGTCCTATGGATTGGCTTTAATTTCTTGATGGTGTTCAATGGTGCAAAATGGTTTTACATTTTGCTTTCCAGTCCCCCACTCCTTCTTTCCTTCTCTGTGTGTGTGTGTGTGTGTGTGTGTGCGCCACCTAGGAACTTTGCTGTGTGTGTGTGTGTGTGTGTGTGTGTGTGTGTTACCTAGGACCTTTGCACTGAGCTCTATTTCCTTGCCTTTAAACTATTTTGTTATTTTTCATATTGAGCCAAGGCCTCACTCACGATGGTTCTGAATTGCCCCAGCTGGCCCCAGTGAGCTTATTCCTTCCTTGGCCTCTCTAGTGCTGAGATCACACCCATGGGCCAGGGTGCCTTGTTCTTCTGTGTTGTTTGTACTTTTAGTAGTTTCTAACAATCTGTTGTTAAGTGTAAGATCATGATGATTCATGCCATATTTTCTTCTAAGAGCTTTATAGATTTAGCTCTTTATAGGCTTAGGACTTAGGTCTTTGTTCCATTTTGAATTAAATTTTTATAGTGTATAAAATAAGAGTTGGAATTCATTCTTCTGCATATGGAAGTTCAGCTACCTGAGCACTGTTTGTTGAGAATATTCTTTTCCTCACTGAGTGGCTTGGGTACATAACACCTTAATCTTTGGGAAGGAGAAATTAAAAGCACAGTGAAATACCACTGCATACCTGTCAGAATGGCTGCAAGCTGAGCGTGCTGTGTTGGCCAGGTGTGGAGGAACTGTTCTTTACAATTTAAAATAGTGAATGGTGCACCCAGTTTGACAGTAAATGTACATCTTCCAGTTTCTCCAGCCACTTCATTCTTAGGTATTTCCCCAAGAGAAACAAAGGCATACAGTTCTCCTTGTTCACAAGTGTTCATGGTAACTATTTTATTTTACTTTATTTTATTTTACTGTACTGTATTGTATTTTACTTTATTTTATTTTATTATGGGAGAGTCTCATTATGCAGTTCAGGCTGGGCTTGAAGTTGCTGTGATCCTCCTATCTCAGTTTCCTAAGTGCTGGAACTACAGATTTGCACCACCATGCCCAGCTAGTAGCTTTGTGATAACTGAGTGTATACCAGGAAGGTCAGTTTCTCCTTATTATGATAGTGAAGTATTTAGTTCTTTCACCTATAACTACTTTATATTGACATCTTTTCTATTTGCTAATATTACATGTAAAAAATCAATGATCATTGTCAACAAAATTGTGAATAATTATTTACAATTTTTTTTTTTTTTTTTTTTTGCCATCCCCTATATTCATTGCTGTGTGCCTGTTAACTGTCCTGATGCCTCCTGCAGTCAGGGCGTTTGCTGGCTTCCTTCCCTCTGGTGAGCTGCATTTGTCCTCCTCCATTGTTGTGCGACCTGACTGGTTGGACTGTGTGGCTCCCGCCAGCCCCTAAGAGCTGTTTTCCTTGAACTTGACTATGATTTCTCCTGTTCCAGAGCTTTCCTTTTCTGTCCCTCAAATCTTTGTTTTTGTTTCTTTAGTTGTTTCGATAAGAGTCTCCCTCCCTTTGTAGTTCAGGCTAGCCTTAACTCCTCTGAAGTGCTAGGGTAACAAGTCTGCACCACCATGCTTAATATCACATTTTACTTGTTCTAGGGCCAATAGCATCCTAAAAGAAAGAGTACATAATGAGTACATGTGCTAGAGCGCTGTGGAGTCCTGTGGATGTCTGATCATGTACTTTTTTTTTTTTTTTTTTTTTGTGGTACCAGGGATTGAACTCAGGACCCTGCGCTTGCCAGGCAAGTGCTTATTCTACTGAGCTATCTCCCCAGCCATTTTTTTTTCCTGTCACACCATATTGATTAGTGTACCATTTTCTTTGAGAATTTTAAGGATGGCATTGTGCAGTCATCTTCCTCTGTCAAGTGTGTCTCTTCCGTATAGATCTCCCCAGTATTTTTCCTTGCTGGAGGCTTTTAGAATCCACCTTTTATTTTTGTGTTAATAAATAATTATTATGTTACATTATATTTAATGGATGGCAATTCATTTTTCAGCTCTCTAAACATTAGAAATTGTTTTGTTTGATTTTTGAAGATTTCTGTTTCTGACATTATCTCCTGGGTTCCTCTTTTTTTATTGTTGTGGTCTTTCTCCTTTATGATAGAGAATTTTCTTCTTAGATGATTTTTGGCTATATATTAAAGATAAGACATCAAAAAGCTCATATTCCTTGTGCAGGCAATGGAAAAAGTCTGGACAGATCTAATAATTTCTAACAGTAGTGGGAGAATAGATTGGTTAAGGTGAGTATTTTTGGTAATCTATACAGTTTAAGGTTTGTGGGAGACAAAAAGATTTTGGCTAACAAACCTGAATTGCCCCAGCCAAATAGCTCAGCAGATGCAGGGGCCGGGGTTCAGTCCCTGGCCTGCCATGCCAACCCCGACCCTGGGGCATGCTGAGACTGGATTGAGACTGGGTGAGGTGGCATGGGCCTGTAATCCCAGTGCTTGGGAGGCTGTAAACAGGAGGATCACTATGAGTCAGATATATGTAGTGAGATCCTGTAGACCCTGTACTAAATAAAAAAAAAAAAAAAAAGACAAGAGAAGGTGTATAATAAAATAAATAAATAGAAAACACATTCCTTAATTACAGAGTTTTGGCA